TTAAGATTATTCATCTTGCATTTGACTCTGAAGAGGTTTAACCTTATCTAAATCACTGGCCCAAAGCTAATGAATCGTGTCTTCAAACTGTCTCTTATTTTATTTTATTATATATTTTATTATTTATAAAATAAAATTTTGTATCAGAACAAGTAGGGAATAAAGTCAATTTTCTTCCCTATGTAATGACATGCTGGCCAGCTTTGTGTTGTGCAAAAGCAGCAGAGAGAGTGAATAAGGGAAAGAAATATAGAGAGCAGCTACCTACCTGCTTCCCGTCTTGGAGTTCCCACAGAATTAGGGTAGCACTGAATGTGGGAAGGGATCTAATTTATCCATGTCTTTGTAACTGCTGTGCTGGGTCAGAATCAACATGTATTTTGTCGGTGAGGAGGACTGAAATGCTTTACACTATTTCATGAACATGCCTGAAAAGTAGAAATTAATAACCAGAGAGATTATAAATAAAATACTATAGAAGATACATCACTTTGAACTTCGTATGAACATACCTACCTAATATTTGCATTCAAATTAAAATAGATGAACATGATTATATTCATATGCCATTCCAATTTAATATACCCTAATTTTCAAGATGTTTAAAAATGTCATATCATGCTATTGATCTAGCTATTTGAAGATTGAGCAAAAGTTAAAAAGCTGTTTTGGGCTCACCAAGAAAATACTCTGGGAATCAGCTTGTGAGCATGCACTCTGTAAGTCTGGCTTGATAACATCTGTTTTGGAAATCTCACCTCGTATGAATTGAGGGGGTGCCTATGGAGAAGTAGTTTTTAAGCCCCATTCTGAAATTCTATCATTTGTGACTCATTATTCTGTGTTACTGTTGCTCTTCTCAGGCATCCCCTTTAAATAATGAAAACTCTCTGGTGTGGGGATACTATGGGGAGCAGTAATGATTGAGTTAGTCTTAGTGACAGATAGCTGTTTTTTGCCACCAGAGCTGAGCACAGAATTAATTCACTTTATTTTTTATGCACGAGGCCAATTCTATCAATCAGTCTTTCTTTTTCTTTCTTTCTTTCTTTTTTTATTTGCTTGTCGGTAAGAGTACAATTTTATTTGGTGAGTCGAGGAGGAAGACTTTGCATATTTGCTGGAGATGTCTTTATATGCTCTATTGGACTCTTTGGTGGAGAATAATAGGAGGAATTATGCATATTTCAGCAATAGAAAAGACTGCACTGCTGAATGTGGACAAAACAAATGCAAATATATTTCATCCCTAATATAAATGTGAGGAATCTAAATGTTTTTTTTTTGTTTAATACCATTATTAATAATTTTCATTTAAAGCCATGTAGCAACCTTTGAAGAATTCACTGATATTCTTTATAAGAAGAAATAAAAATAAATCATTCAAGGCAAGGGAAAAAAAAACATGACCCAAAGAACTCGAGATAAATATATTACTCCTGGTTATCTTTGGACTTGAAGAACTTGCATTTTTGCTAGTCCGTAGTCATAATTTCAGGTGTGATGGCTCTTTTCAAGGCATATTTCCTAAGTGTGTCTGGATTACTGCTTTTCAGGTTAGGATTTAGTCATTTAAGTTAGTGTGGCTGCTGATATAGTAACATAATATGGGTTTTGCCTCAGATAGTTATTGCAATAATAAAGAAATGTTTTACTGAAGATCTGTTTATTTTTACTTTTTTCTTTTACTGCTATCTCACTATTATGGGAAAATATTCTAGCAAGTAGCTAGAAAAATCTAAGGGTAAGAATTGGCTTAATGTTATATGTACAGTATTTCTCCACCTAACTCAAGCTTCATACTTATGTTTTTAACAAAATTGCAGATCACAGAAAAAATGTGTAGCCTTTCACCATGCAAGTAAACATTAATATGATTTATCTTTCCTAAAACTCACAATTAAATATATCTATTTAAAAAGAACATCATGCATAGTTCTAATTTAGAAAAACGGCTTATCAAGGACTTCCACTTTGAGGCTGAATGCACACTTGCACATAAACAAATGAGCAATTGATTTAGGAACATAATCTTGGCAAAAAAGTGAAAATATGCATTTCCAAAACAAATAGCAACAAACAAATTCTTCTTCTGCTTTTGTCTCAATTTTTTTCTTTTTTGCGAGACTAAAGATAAACACCAGAAACTTGGGTGTTTCAAAAGCCCTCAGGAGCTCAGCAGTCATCCCTTGGGTAAGGCCTTTCCAGAGTTCCCAGTGGCAGCTGGGAGCATTTCCCCTGAGCCCCAGCCTTCTCTTGCATACATTTTCTCCTCAGCACCTCTCACAGTGCAGGAACATCGATGGTTATTTGTTTGCCTCCCAATATACTCTGACCTCCCTGAATGTAGAGATTCGATATTTTATCTCTCCATCATTAAAATAGGTTGCACAGAAATAAAATTAAATAAGATAAAAACAGAGAGGGAGGCAAACCAGAAGAGACTCTTAACGATAGAGAGCAAACTGAGGGTTGCTGGAGGGGAGGTGGATGTGGGGAATGGGGTAACTGGAGGATGGACATTAAGGGGCGCACTTGATGGAATGAGCACTGAGTGTTACATGCAACTGATGAATTCTACCCCCGAAACTAATAATCTACTCTATGCTAACTAAATTGAATTTAAATAAAGAATTTTTAAAAATAAAATAGGTAGCACAGAGCCTGAGACACGGTGCATGTTCACTAAGTGTTAAAGCACTGATGTAAGAATGACAGTGAATGTTGCCCCACCTTCACCATTCATAATTTTCTGCTAACTACAAATCCTCAGTATGGTTTCTATACCTGCCATGCCCATCACGGTCTCAAATTATTGCAGACACAGTTGCCCTTGCCTATAGTATGTCTGTCAACTTCTTCCTGCGTATAAAGCGGAACTTTCTTTATGGCTCTGTTCTCTTCCCTCTACTGCCATAGTATTTCTCCACTACATCCACTCGCATTGTTATCTCTTTTCTCTGACCTCACATTGCACTACACAGCTTATCTCTCCATAAAGTGTTTTGAATTGCTCTCTATCATTGCATTGTCTCAAATATTGTTTTGTATCTTCATGAGCAGCACTGTGTAGGTAGAAATTTCCGTGACGATAAAATATTCTGTAATCTGCACCATCTAATACAGTAACAGAACCACTGGCCACATATGGGTAATGAACACTTGAAATGTGGCTAGTGCAATTGTGAACCTAAAATTTAATTTTAAAATTTTTTAATTAATTAACATTTATAATTTAAATAGTCACATGTGGCTAATTGCTACCATATTGAACAACATCGTTCTAGAGCATGAAGCCCAGTACTTGGCACCCATAGCAAGTGACTAATAATACTTAATGCAGATTATGTTCAAGAATTTGACAGGAAAATGTGTTGCTCTGGGAGAATGTTTATCAAATACTTGGGGAGCTTAAAAAATCAAAATGAGACATTAAATTTATTGGGAAGAAATAATGAATTGAGAGACAGAAGGAAATTTAAGTGCCTTAGAAAAAGCAAATTGACTAGGAAGAGACATAGCTGTAAAAACCAAACTAATACTGATATCCAAAAACCAGAGAAATAGCTATTAAATATACCAGCTTGATTCTCTCTTCTCTAAACTCAGAATATGAATTAATTAAAGAAGATTAAAGAATAGAATGAACAAAATGCAATAGATTTAATTCAACTACATTCTATTAGCAGAATTTCAATGAAAATGTTTTATTTATTATTAGATCTTCTGAGAACATACTGTTATATTTTAATTTCGTTGTATTGACTATCAGACTGTTATAATTGAATTTTATTGTATTGACTATTGCTTGAAATAGCTGGCCCATAGCTATTTAGTTAGATATACTTTTACAGAGGTGTTTTATTCTTCTGTACCTTGGTTTTTTACAAATTTTTTTTGTACATTTTGAATTCTAGTTACAAGCTGATTTCAATAACTTTGTCTTTTCTATAAAAGCTGTTGAAGTCCAGTTTCCCTTATTCACTTAATAAATATTTATTGAATGTTGTCTGTGGACCAGCCTGCTAATCTTTGGGAATGATCTGGTAGATGTATTCTTTGTCATCATGGAACATGAATCTAGCAGGAAAAAAAGTCAGGTTGGTGAATAAAAGCTAAGAAACATTAAAAATATTGGCACTATTGACATGCTAAGTAGTATGGTTCCAACTCTGCTCCTGGCTCCAAGCAAATGAGTCAGTGAAGAGCCCAGGAAGATCTATGGGTGAGGGCAGACCGAGAAATCTTCATGGGTGAAACTTGGCTCTAGTTGACCTATAAAGAGTGGCTGGGAGTTGGGGAGCAGTTGGGTAGGTAATAGGAATGTCAAAGTCATTACAGGTGAGAGAAACAACACAAATACTGTCTTGTCGACATATACAGATATGTGATATTAGTAAATAGGGACAGTTTATGGAGAGTATACCCAGTCTGACACAATGTTAGGATTCCCAGGTGAAGGTGATTCCTGAAGAACCTGTACATAAAGACGAGAGCATAGGTCAGACATTAGAGAAGGAGCTACAGATTTGAGAATTATTGACTACTTATGCTGCTTGAGCCAATGACAGTGGTTAAATTTAGAGGGAGAGAGAAGGTAGAACTTTAGTCTTAAATCTGGTAACAAAAAGACAGAGCCTTGGGTGGGGGAGAAAACCAGTAAATAATTTTTGTGAATTAAAAAGTAGGGTGAGCAGCAACTTATCAGAGCCAGAGGAAGATATCTTTAAAGAATGAAACATCAAGCAGGTCATATGTTGACAGGTTGAGGAGAAGAAACTTGAGAAAAGTTTCCTAGGTTTAGTAAGAGGAAGGCCCATGGTTATTTTGAAAGAGGAGATCCATTAAGACAGTAAACGCAAAAGCCATTTTTTCAGGAAATAAGAGAAGAAGGCACCAGAAACCACATGTTTGGAAATGTCAGCATTGAAAATACTGAAAGATTTCATAGAGGCTAGAAGAATCAGTGGGCTATTTATTTGTGCATTTTTAAAAGATAGGAGATCTAAACATGTTGAAGATAGAAAATAAGGAGTCTTCGGTGTTTTTGAAATTCAACAGTTCACTGGTCCTTATTGTGTCTGTTCTAAACTTGAATCTCTCTTTTTCATTAAATCCTAGTGAGTCCATTACAGAAGAAACCCTGAAAAAGTCAAAGGAGATTGGGTTCTCAGACAAGCAGATTTCAAAATGCCTTGGGCTGACTGAGGCCCAGACAAGGGAGCTGAGGCTAAAGAAAAACATCCATCCTTGGGTGAAACAGGTAAAGGAGTTTCCCTTTCCTCGAAGGGGGAAACACAGGCACCAGCTCATAGAGCCATTGCCAATAGAAAGACGGGTGGAATTAAAAAATGATTCTACTTGTCTAATCGATGCCCATGATGCCACCAATTTTATTCAGCACAGGATTGATTTAAGCTTAAAAGGGAAAGGTTGAAGGGGCACTGGGACGTAAAGGTAAGAGGGAGTACGTGGTTTTCTCTGCCTAAATGAAAAAAATCCAAATGACCTCTCCTTTACTTTTTGACCCATGTGCAAATGTATCTGTGATAAGATAAATCCTTAGTGTAGAGGAAGGACTTGAAATACCCTAGTATGGTGGCTGACCTCTTGAAAAGAATAGTTATCTCTTTTGGCACTAACTTTTTACAGGGTAATACTTTATTTTAAGTGCCTCATCATTATGGTTCATTTAGTATTCATTGTGATAGGGTTGGGTATAATGAGCTCATCTAGTATTCATGGCAATCACACAAGAACTTTCATAGGTGTACCATTGTGGGTTTTTTTTTTTTGGACTTTAGTAGAGGGATGCTTTGGCTTAAAGTACCACCAGCTGGTTTTTGTCCTTTAGAATCATTGACTTTTCTCCACGTGCTCAGGTGGCAGATGCATACCCTTTGGTCTCAGGTTTGATGCTGAATATATTCTAGTCAGCAATTATCTTTCTTCCTTCTCACCTGCCTTACACTGGCCTGCCCTGTTGGCCCTGAATTCTTGCTCACTAAGCTGAGCTCCTGGCCTTAGAGAACTGAATTGATTTACTTTTTCCAAATATGTTCAATGAGACCTTGTCCCCTTCCCCTCTTCCCCATGCTTTAAGGTATTTGTGTCATCTCATTCTCAGTGCCATAGGTAACTTAAATCCTATGCATTAATTTGCAAACCAAAGACATTCTTACATATAGGTCATTTTGCTCTGATTTGAGCTGCTTTAGATAGCTATCTGGGTAAATCTTCCTGGTAACGAGTTGACTGACCATTTTGCTATGTACATGAAAAGTACTGCTGTAATCAATCAGTGACGCTCTGGGGTGTGTATTGTTATTTATTGCTCAAATGGTAACTAGATTATATCATTGTTCCTCCGCCCAATCTCATTTTCAGAATTAGAAAGTAATTGAATTGTACCTACCTTTTTATCTGTCTTTGTATCTGATAGTAAGAGGCATTAAAGGGATATGAACACAGCACAATTTTTTTATTCTTCAAAAAAAATACAACAGGGAATAAAATCCCAATTTATTTATTTATTTATTTTCTCTTGCAGATCGATACACTGGCTGCAGAATACCCATCAGTAACAAACTACCTCTATGTTACCTACAATGGTCAGGTTGGAACTGCCAAGTTGCTATATGCAGAAAGCTCTAGATTTAGTAAATGGTCCACAATGCGGGAATATAATTTTTGTGTTTTTGTTTATCTAGTAATCTTGTATTTAAAATGACATCGTGTGGGTCAGATGTGATAATGTCTGTCCATACTCAGTCTTTTCAGAACTGCCTTAAGATGGTGAAATCAAACAAGTAAAAATATAATAAGGATAACAGTTACATGAACATACAATTATGGTGTGTTCTCATGGCTATTTAATTAAAAAATATTGAACTTAGTTTTTGTGACTAAGTAGAGCTTATACGTTATACTTAGGAGTTCCCAGAGACTAGTAGAGGATACATGTCAATGAGAGGAAGAATGAGAAAGACAGACTCAGTGACAGGACAAAGAGTTTAATTAGATTGAAGAATAACACACAATAATTTCTGTGTCTTCTTTTTTTTTCTTCTCAGGAGCATGATATCAATTTTGATGACCATGGAATGATGGTGTTGGGCTGTGGTCCATATCACATTGGTAAAGTGATAACTTATATTTACATAAGACTTTATAGTTCATATAGTACTTTTCACACATGTTCATTCTATTATTCTAAGAACTATGAAAACAGATGCTGTTATAATAAGTATTTTGCAAATTAAGAAACTGAGGTTCAGATAGGTAAAGCCCAAGTTGACAGGGCTATTAAATGGTACAAGTGAGACTCAAATGCAAGTCTCAACTGTAATTCCTTCTCCTGTTTCACCATGTCCCCCCTTTTATGTTTTTATCTTCATGAACTAAATTGAGCCTCTCACTGAGGTTAGGGAATGAATTACACTTTGACCTTTTCTCATCTGGCACAGTTTTACGCAAAGATTTAGATTTGCTTAAGAACTTCATATATCAACCAGAAATTACATTTGTAGATGAGATCTGTGAGTATATGACTTCTGTTGATATCGAACGCAAAGAGCTTTTATCATTGGTGCATAGACAGAGCATTATATAATTTAATTAAAATGTTCTCAGCAGAAATTGTTACACCTCACCCAGTCACTTAAAATTAGACATTTAATAACATTAATATAATAATCATAATTTACAGTTACAAAGTATATATTTAAATAGACAATGGTATTTCTCAACAAGTGTATTTAACATTTAGTCTCACAAGTTATTCTAGTATGGAAATGATGAAATACATAATTTAAAATGTATGTAGTCTTACTCTGTTACTTTAAACATAGTTTATTTTAGGTTTTACAATTAATCAAGTGCTTCAGGATCTCCTACTTCAGCAATCTTTGGTCAAATATTGAAGTAGGTTGAAAGTGTTTATATCTTTACCCCTTTAGTTATCTTAGGCTAAATGGCCTGAACACCTCCACTAGGACCTGCCGTTCTCTTCTGTAGAACTTTCTTCCTTCCTATTCAAACTTTACCTAATTTATGTAACAATTCTGCATTACCTTAGGACTCAGGGAAGACTAACTAGGCTGATAATCAAGTATATACTTAATTGATAGTGAAAGTTGGCATGCTACTATATTTGGATAATTATTGTTCTGATAAGGATTTTTAGGAGACAAAATCCTAATGCAAAGAATTAGTACAAATCCCAGGACTTTCAGTTCTGTGGCATCCCAGTGGAGGTGATATTTTGAGGTATTTATGCCATTATTGTACTTCAAATTACTTTTTAGAAGGTCACTCACTCTGCATGGGGTGGCCTTGCCAAGCTTAAAAGGATATGCTTGGAAAGGACAGGATTTTCCAGTCAATCAAGATATGTCAGAGCTCCAAGGCACTTCAGGGATCATTGGGTTTAGCCCTCAGACAGCAGAGTAAGTGGAATAACTAAAACAAGAACTCCAGTATTCTGATCACTAGCTTGACTATTGTGTACTGAGGTCAGTATGTTCACTTTGAGTTCTTTTCCGTAAACGAGGGTTTTTTAAAAATCGTTACAATGATCTCCCATTAACTTTGAATTTGAATGTTTCAAATATGGAGATTCCCTATTGCAGAATTTAGCATACAAGATAAGCCAACATGTCATTGTTGTTTAATTAGTCCCTGTTTTTCCTACTGTTATTGTAGTGTGCATAATGGATCTGAAATATACATTTTGGAGTCTTAGAAATTGCAATGAGAGGGGATTAGCTTCCTTAGCCTTAGCCATAGCTTTCTGCTGCTCTTTGTGTTGTAACTTCATGTTTCTTTTACCCCTCTTCCCAATCTCACCCTCGCCACAGGCAGCAGTGTGGAATTTGATTGGTGTGCTGTCTCCAGCATCCGCACACTGCGTCAGCTTGGCAAGAAGACAGTGGTGGTGAATTGCAACCCTGAGACCGTGAGCACAGACTTTGATGAGTGTGACAAACTGTACTTTGAAGAGTTGTCTTTGGAGAGAATCCTAGACATCTACCATCAGGAGGTAAAAAGAGAAAAAAAAAAAAAGAAAAGAAAGGAAAAAAAAGAAAAATATATGCAGTGCATACTTTATAGATGCAGCTACATGTACATAGATTTATATTGTAATTCCCCTTAGGGGAAAGAGCTGCAGTGCCTCCCACTGTCTAATTTTGTAGTGAAACTCTAAAAAAAATGATCCCAGCCTTAGAGTCTTGAGGCCCTGGCACAGAGAGATTATTTTTTTCTTTATAAGCATTCCAGCTAGATTGAAAACTCTTCTTGGTAACATGTGCCAGACACATATTAGCTAGTACAAGACAACCCTCCAAAATATTTTGCAGGATGATTTAATTGATCATCTAGACATACAATAAGCCGCCTCTCTCTAGTTCCTGTGTTGTTGCGGTTTAATAATGGATGGTCCCCAGAGGGGTTGTTCACAAATGACCAGTTAATTCTGTGTGCCATCAGATGAAGCCATCAGTCTTCAGTCTAAGATCGGAGTTCATTCTGAACGATATCAGTACTTTTCTAGTTTTCTCTGACAGTTCTTCTTCCACCCGCACTCTAGTATTATCGAGAATATCTTTACTCTGCATTCTTATGACCAAAAGGTTACTGTAAGTCTATAGAACAAGTTGAAATATCTTACAGTTAAAAAAAATAACTGCTGGAAGATTTCAGAGTGATGTCTAGTGGTTGTGTCTTTGATGTCATTACAGTTAATTCCCTACTATGGAGAATCATCCTTGTGTATAAAATACGGTCACTTAGGGAAAAAAAAAATACTGAATTAGGGCCACAGTACTTAAGTTCAAGTTTTGACTGGACAATTGATTGAGTTGTGCAAACTTCCTAAATTCTGTGTTTCTATTTTTTTTTTTTGGTTAATGAACCAGATGAGCGTATATATGTGCTACATGCAGGTACTGTGAAGATAAGGAGATTTGTGGCTGAAACCATATTGGAAAGTGTAAAGTTCAGTGCTAGAACATGTGATGATTTTATTACAGTGAAGAAAAATAGAAAAACTTAGGATGGATAGATCATCATAGTTATCCATTTGGGCTTGACCCACTTATCTTCTGATATAATGAAATTGAACCCCTGGGTAGAATATACAGGAATTTTTATTTTTCTCTCTGACATGGTTTTTCTAATAATTTCTTAAGATTCATTTCAGGTGGGGATCAAAACAAGTGCATTCTACAAATATATCTTGAATACCTTTTAAATACCAGGTTCAGCAGGATGGGGAGGTGTAAAACCAGCTCCCTACCTTCAAAACATTAGAATAAAACTGGGAGGGGTGCCTGGGTGGCTCAGCTGGTTAAGCGACTGCTTTCAGCTCAGGTCATGATCCCAGGGTCCTGGGATCGAGTCCCGCATCGGGCTCCCTGCTCCTTGGGGAGCCTGTTTCTCCCTCTCTCTCTGCCCATTGCTCCCCCTGCTTGTGCGCACGCTTTCTCTCTGTCAAATAAATAAATAAAATCCTTTTTAAAAAAAGAATAAAACTGGGACCCATAACATAAATATATGAAAAATTACATAATTGTTTAAAAATATTAACAAGGATTACAAGGAATTGCAGCAGGCATTTTACACATAATTAATTATTTCCCCATGAAATGGTTTAAGGAAAGCTTAAAAACTTCTCCAGCTGCCTTTGGATATGGTTATACATGGATATTAATGAGATCCTTTTATAATAACTGAATTCAGTATGATGGTAAAAAACAAATTGGCCCTTCTTTGAAGCTGATTGGCATTTATAGTGCTACTATGTAAGATACTTTTAAATGTCATATTGGAAAATATAGGAGCAATATTCCATTGATGTATTTGTTAGACTATCCCACAGGAAATGTTAAAAAAACATATTCACATATCATACACACATGTACATATGTGTGTATGTCTCCTTCTGTGAGGTTGCTGTGTATCTCCTCACAACCTCCAGGAGACTGCCATAATCCAGCTGTGGGTGTCCCTAGTGATGCTAAAGGCACTGAGACATTCAGTAGTAAATCTGCAGAAAATTGGAAGCACATCTAAACTTACTCAAAACACACATTTGAGTCACTTTAGAAGGGCAATAAGGTACATAGCTACATAGGATGATAGGTCTCTTGGTCTAGTTCAGGACCAGTGCTATTCCCATGGCAATAAGGATGCACTTCTAAAGAAAACATAAAAGGGGGGGTGTGTCAGAAAAGTGACATGCCCTGTGAGTAAAGCAGGCTGGCTCAGTCGGTAGAGCATGCACTCTTGATCTCATGGTTTGAAAAGTTATATAAATGAACGTTAATTTTCTTCTATATCCCGGACCCACATAAGACCCATTTCTCTTTTTTTTTTAAATTTCTTCATTAAAAACCAGATTGAGTCTAAAAATGCCAGGCAATATACCTGACACCTTATGATGTCCCTGTCTAGTTTGAGTCCTTCTGAATTTTTCTTGATTTTATAATGAATAATTTATTGGATCATACCCCATAAAAATGTACTCTGATTAATGATGTAATTGTTCTATTTTTAACACCTAATGCTATATGTATATACATATACAATGGCATCTCTGTAACACAATTTGAGTTAAATGAATGAATGACAAACATTGATTAATGTAGACAAAACCCATTGGAGATTGTGCGACTCTAAACTAGAATTGGGTTTCATTCCTAGCATTTGATTTAACTGTAATTAAATATAATCTTAAGGGTCTGCCTAAAGTATTGAAAATGTTTTACTAAAATGTGAATTACTAAGATAATAAAGCACAGTAAAGATAATAAATCAATCTCACAGACAGATGTACAAAGAGTAGAGTTTTGTAAATTAGAGATAATACACGAAATTACAAAAATCAGGGTCAACTTTTAATGAATTAAGTGTTATTTCTGTTAGTAAGATATATTTTCTCTCTTGCATTCTGTCTATAATATAGCTTTTAATTTGCCCATAAAAATAAGGAAAAACCAAAGTACTAAAAATACATTTGTGGTGTGATTGCACTTGAATACCGTTTCAGAAATATTCTTGTGTGGTGTCGTCTTAGCTTAGTGATACTAAGTTAAAAAAAAAAAGGAAACTAAACTGAGTAAAAAGATACAAACAAATCCAGGTAAGGTCAGTGGAACTTTGGGACCCTGATGGAATTATTTTCAGCCTCAAGTATTTAGAAATCTGTGAGACAAATCTGAATTTTAGAATATTTTATGTCAGTGAGTTATTTAAAACTATTTAGGCTTAAGTGATTATGATAATGATCATTTACCCGTGTGGGAAACCAAGTTCTTCTCCTTAAGTCCCTGCTAGTTCTGTGCTTGCAGTTGGGGCCAATTTAAGATGAATTCTTCCACAAAACTGTCCTATATTAACTTCATCCTACAAACATGTTCTCTTGTACTGACTTCCTTTTGCTGTGTGGGCAAAACTACACTACATCATCAACCATTACTCTAAAACATCCTGTGAATGTACTTGCCTTTCCAGGGATGATCTTTATTTCTGGAGTCAATGATGAGAATGGGGTTTTGCAGAGGATGTTTTTCTACCACTTTTCAAAAAGAATGTTTTAGAAATAGCTCTTCTTGCAACCTCTAACAGTAACTACCCTTGAAATCAGGCAGAAAAATAGAGTTAGCTTAAGATTCAAAGATTTGGTTTATTAGTTAAACATAGCTGCTTTGCAGTGTGGAGAATTGAGTTCTAATACTGGCTGTATTTGCTAGATTAGAAATATGCGCAAGTCATTTCACCTTCACCGAGCCTCAGTTTCTTTAGCTGTAAAATGGGGAGAGTAATAACTGCCTCAGAGGGATACAGTGAAGGTCAAAACAGATGGTGTAGGGCAAATAGTAATATCCTTAAGGAATAGTAGCAGTTTATATTATTACTGTTTTGAAAGTTGCTAATCTGTTGAAAAATAAAAAGCAATTCCATAGAACATTTTGAAAAATGTTAGTGTTTTTATTAAAGACTTTTCACTCAACTTTGAGCTCCCATTTAGTGCAGTGGACCCCAATTTTTGCTCACAGGTTGATACTTCTCTTTTAATTTTAGAAATTATGTTGAAGTGTTTCACGTAAGAAATCTTTGTATGCATTTAATTGAAGAATTAGTTTTTAAGCCTCTAAAGTATTAACTCTGCTAATAAACTAAAAATAAACAAATAAAAATATTATAGTACAAAGAATAAATCTTAAAGGTTTTGCAAAGATGTATATTGAACATAAAAAATGATAAAAGCAGCTTAAGTGCACTTATAAATATGCAGAACTGTGGATTATTGTTTTCCATACTGTTCACAAGGCATTTAAGTACTCAATTGTAGGGTGTTTGCTTAGGCACTACTTTCACTGCTCTCATCAAAGAGAAATAAGCTTTATCCTTTTTAAGACTATTTCAGAATTATTTCAAATAATGATAAAATGCATTTGGTACGTATCTATTACTTCAGCCGTTCCAATATTCATTAGTAGGTTATTAAGGCAAATACAAATTATTCCAAGATCAATGGTCTATCAGATATAATAATATTTTCCAATATTAATAACAGTGTCTTACTTATGCACTTATAATTTGTAAGGCCTTTAATGTTTATTTTCTTATTTAACTTATATAGTGACCTTGTGAAGCAGACAGATATTATTTTAATTTTACAGACATGAAGACTGAATGTTGGAGGGATTTTCACAGAGGGAATTAAGATGGGAAGGAACTTCTTTTTTTTTTTTAATCTGGAAGTTTTGGGGTGCCTGGGTGGCTCAGTCGTTAAGCGACTGCCTTCAGCTCGGGTCATGATCCCAGTGTCCTGGGATCGAATCCCACATCAGGTTCCCTGCTCAGCAGGGAGCCTGCTTCTCCCTCTCTAGCTCCTCCTGCTTGGTGATCCCTCTCTCGCTGTCTCTGTCAAATAACTAAATAAAATCTTTAAAAAAAATCTGGAAGTTTTGACTACTAATAGGAGATTAAGGTTAAAGATTCAGACACTGCTTGTAGGGCAAATAGGAAGGAAACAGGGACTAAAATCTGTTACTGGGTACTGTAGACAAGAGCCAAGGTAACTGTAAAGGAGAGAGGATGTAAAAATGGGAGATAGGATTTAGAATGGACTGTAGTGTAGAGATGGTGGAGTTTAGATAAGGGACAGGGAAAAAGGAGAGAAGTAGCAAAGGCAGGGTAAGGTTAAGTGGGCAGAAAGCTTCCTAGTGGGAGTGCACATAGTTTGGGACACTCAATAGGAGGTCTTCTTGGTGCTGAGAAGAATGGTGACAAAAAAGGCTGGAGACTCTTCATTGTCCTATTGATGGTGATGAGCTTACACTTTGTGCTTTAGGCATTGGGAAACTTTGGAGAATTCAAAGCTTCAACTCACACAGGAGTGACTTGGTGAATCAGTTTCATAGGATGATTAATCTGAATGTGAAGGGCTGGGGTGGAGAGGAACAGGAGAGGTGAGGGTTAGAAGGAAAGATCTATGTCCATTTAGGAAATTACAACAGTAGTCCAAGCAGCACTTGTTTACAGTAGAGTACATGGTGAAAATATTAATTGTCTTGATTTCCTTTTTCTAATTGTCATGCACGTCAATGTCACACATTCATGTGTAGATGCGTGGAAGTCTGACGTGGTAATCATGTGTAGTTGTATGGAACTCTCACATAGATTTTAGCAGGTAAGTGCCTGGATAGTAAGAATGAAGTTTGTTTATCTCTTTGGGGGCATAACTTAATATTGCCTATTGATGGGAGACATGAAATGGTCACAACATGTGAAGCAGTTGCTCATTCATCATGAAGTGACCCCAACGGCTGATATTGTGGTGTCTTGTCCAGGCATGTGGGGGCTGCATCATCTCAGTTGGGGGTCAGATTCCAAACAATCTGGCAGTCCCTCTGTACAAGAATGGTGTCAAGATCATGGGCACGAGCCCTCTGCAGATCGACAGGGCCGAGGATCGCTCCATCTTCTCAGCTGTCTTGGATGAGCTGAAGGTGGCTCAGGCGCCCTGGAAGGCTGTTAACACTTTGGTAAGGAGAGAAACACTTGCCTGTTTTTAATGTTCACTTTTGAAGAGTTGTAACCTGAATGTTAACTACTGCAGATGTTAACTTCAGGGCAGATAGAAGGCACTTATGCTCAGTGACTTTACTTTAAAGTTGGTGTATTTCCATGATTGCAGTTAAGTGCTGGTTATAAATTGTTAAGAGTATTCTCATTAAGATTCGGACAATGAAAAACGTTCAAACTATTTTAGAGCTTGATTGATATTTACAATTAGAAACTAGGAATTTTACATGTTTCAATGTCCAATTTACATTTTAATGGTGTCTTTTGAGAGAAAGAATAAAAAGAGTTGTGTTACCATTTGTTCTGAAGATGCCTTTCTGCAGTTCTATTGAGTATCTTAAACTATTCATGCACTTTTTTGTTGTTGTTTCTATTAATTAGAATGAAGCACTGGAATTTGCAAAGTCTGTGGGCTACCCCTGCTTGTTGAGACCTTCCTATGTTTTGAGGTAATGTACTGTTCTCCCAAGGTAATGATTTAAAAATCGGGAGGTACAGAATGGCGTGCTGTACGCTAATAGCACTTGGCTTTGATGTGTGGTAAGTTGTAAATACGTCCACAATCCCCAGACCAACATGGCCGGAGTGAGGACCTATGCACTGTCCTTCAGCCTACTGCTTTTCTTTCAGAGGGTGGCAATAAGAGTCCACAGTCCTCCATCTTAGAAGCATGGCTTAGGGCGTCTCGTTGCCAAACTGAGGGAGGATAGTTTTACATTAGAGAAGAGAACAATTTAAAAAACCCAAAAAGCAAAACCAGAACAAACCTGGACATCTCTTTCCAGTACCTGTTTTCTAGTCAGCAGAAATGGCAGCTTATCTCTGACTGTTGTCAGCACCTTCCAATGGTGCCTCTGGTTTGAATTTTTGAGTTTTTGAGATCACATTTTTTAGCAGATGAATTATAATGGTGAGGGACAGGGATAGTGAGGATCTTTTATATTAAACTTTGAAGCGAAGTTCTATCATCAAAGGAGAAGTTGTGAATTATCACTTACTCTCTTCAGATGTTACCACATGTAAGGAACGACTTCACTGAACAGGGGATAATAAGAGAAACACAATTTGCTGTGCACAATTTGGAAGTGCAAATGGAATTTGAGATGGGATCCTTTAAAATAATGAAAAATTTGAAATGAGGTGGAAAACTTTCCTTTTTATTTAAATGACATTTTTTGTGAATCACCATCAAATAATACTTCTTTGAGGTATTAATGTAAGTTAATTTAAACAACACACAGACATTTAAGGGAGGGTTGCAGAAAACAGCTTTGACTCTTGTGCTTCCTTTCTCATCTCTGCAATCTGTCTCTTTGTTCCAGTTTCCTATACTGTGAATTATCAATGTTATTGACTTAGCCTTCCTGTCTTAAATAGATGAAGACATTGAAAGTTCTTTATGCAAAAATATGTAATAGAGTAGAAAAGATAAAGAATGCTATTTTTAAAAAGAAGTGGAAAGTAGTATTTTTCTTCCTTATTTTTTCCCTCTTCTTATTCCTCCTTCTTTCTTCCCATCTCACTTTGAAAATATCAAAATTCAGCATAAATTGAAATCAGCATTCTTTCTCAAGCAATTAATAAGAAGGACACAGTTGAATACTTTTCAATCAGATACTGTACATTATATTTGCGTAAAAAATTTGTGCTTTTGTGACCTGGCTGGTAGTAGAATGACCTGCTTTGACAGCAGACCTGTGGGTTAAAATCAGCCATTGTCAATGACCTCTCAAGGAACAGGGTATGAATAGCTAGATCCTGGGGCACCTGGGTGGCTCAGTCGGTTAAGGGTCTGACTCTTGATTTTGGCTCAGGTCATGATCTCAGAGTCCTGAGATCAAGTCCTGTGTCAGGCTCCACACTCAGCAGGGAGTCTGCTTGAGATTCTCTCCCTCTGCCCCTCCCCCTATGCTCTCTACCCCCCCCCACTCTCTCTCTCAAATAAATAAATAAATCTTAAAAAAAAAAAAGAATAGCTAGATTCTAGGATGAATTTTGTTAAGGTTTAAGAATTACCTGGAACCAGCCGAGTGAAAACAGGAAATCAGAAAGGACAAACTTTGGGATACTGCTATCTCTATATTTACGTGGTTTTCTTTGGACATCATCACAGCTCTCACCCCCAACTTGGGTGACTCTTTATTTTGGTTGATTGTTCTGGTGATTAAGTGGAGTAAAGACTCAATTTAGGAAAAAGCATCTTCTTACTCAGTCCAGACTGAAGCTAGAGATTGCCTGGAACTGTTCTGAGAAGCAATCAAGTCTAGCATGCTTTTCTTCCAAAGTGGTGAAAAAAACTGACCTGCCTCCTCTCCTTTCCAGTGGGTCAGCCATGAACGTGGTATTCTCTGAGGATGAGATGAAAAAATTCCTAGAGGAGGCCACTAGAGTGTCTCAGGTACTGTCCAATTTCCTCCTGGTGACTTTTACTTCTGTTAATTGCTATCTTATTTCATATGTTTTTATTTTCACACTATGTTAGGATGGTTTTCCCTTTATTTTTTTTTTTCTCTCCCTAGCCGGTAGTCTCCTATATATGGGAATAAGAAAACTCAAATGCATTTAATTGCATTTAGATCCTTAGGGTTAGTGGAAGAAGAAGAAGACCAGTACAAATTTGATTACAACATTGACCTGGTTTTAGACTCCAGGAGTTAGGCTGGATAAGCATCCTTGGTTTCAGCATCATAAGTTAGATGCTGATCAAGTTATCCCTGGGGTTCCCAGCCTCAAGGACTGCCCAGCCAAGCTCGTCATGTATCAGTGAGGGCTTTCCTGGTTTTTAAGTCTCACACTTGGAGAGACTTTGCCTTAGTTAACCCTGCAATTTTAATAGTAAACCCCTTTGCTCACCTTTTGACTTTTTTTCATTTTGGTACATTCCATTTGTCAGTTAATAAAAATGTTTATAATTTTGTGGTGATTTCAACCACCTTCCTCCATTGCCCTCAGCTTTACTTCTCCCTTGGTATTACCACAGTGTGATCCATTTAAGATTTACCCAGTGAGGTTATTGATCTGCAGACCTTGTACTGTAAAGGATGAAAGTGATGTTTTCCTTTTAAGAGCTTTCAAAAGCTTGTTGGGTTTGTGTGTGTGTGTGTGTGTGTGTTTAAAGAGAGAGAGAGCACAACTCATAGAGAAGAGTTTAATGTTAGGCAAGTGGAATTTGGAGGGAGCTAAAGAGTGAAGTCAGAAGCATTTCAAAGAGGAATAACGAGCATGGACTGTTCCTGCTCATGAAGCCAGACATCCCTTCTGTATGGTAGTTGCTCCCCAGGACATTGGGTCAGTGAAGAGAGTGGATAAGGATAAAGGGTGAGAAAGACAAAGAGTGTAAAAAAAGAAAACCAAGTAGATTTTGAATTCATTCCTGTGTGAAAGTCAGATTGCTGAGGAGGGAATCTCTCCAGGGAGCCAGTTTTCATTAATGTGGACTGGAACAAGACACTGTCTTCTTCCCTATCTGACTTCCTGCCAAGGATTTGGGCATGCTCCCCTTTTGAAAAACCAGTAGTTAGACCCAGCTGTGCTCATGTAAGTGAGGAAGCAGGTGTCCTCTCTTTTCTGCCTGGGACACTGGTTCCCACATAGAAGAGTTTTAAACTACTCATAGTAGAGTTTTAAAAATATATTTTTCTGCTAGCATATGGGTAGAACCTCTACTGGACCAAAGTTTTATAATGGAGATGTCCCTGATTGAGTACATTCTGATTCAAGTGTTCCCTTCAAAACACAGCAGAATCTGGGATACTCAGTTCAGTGAATCTAGAATAAAATTAGACCCCATCAATCATTCATCTATTTATGTATTCATTCATGTTTAGCACCTGCTCTATAATGGCATTGTTCTCAGTATCAGGGGCTACACTCATACAAAGAGAGATACAGTCTGCTCTCACAGAGGACTCTTTACTAGGGACATCAGACTTCAAATAATTACAATAAAATATAATGAGCATTGCAATAAGAAAGTACAGGATGCTGAGGGTGAGTGTCAATGTATTGGGGTCCATCCCTAAAGAAGGGCTTTTTAAATTAATTTAAAATGGTTGATTTAGAATTAACTGGTTGAAAGATTTACATTGTGGGTGTGAGTAGGAAGAAAGGACAGCAGAGGTAAAGGGTCAAAGCTGAGAAAGAGAATGGAGTTTCTAGAAACTGATAAAGTATTTAGTATATGGCTAGGACACTTCCATGGTGGAAGAGTAGATAGAGTAGGCAGGGAATAGATAAGGAGAGCCTTGTCAGTTACAATGAGTTTGGGGCCAGACTGCATTCATGGAAAAACATTAGGGGCTATTGCTGTAGCTCAGGGTAGAGATGACAGCACCTTGGAGCAGAGTAATGATAGTGAAGATAAAAAAGAAGTACATGTATTCTAGAATATTTAGAATGTTCACTGAAGGCAATTAGTGAGTGCGTGGAGGTAGAGGGTAAAAATGTATTGATAAAGGATGACTCCTGAGCTTCTGCCTTGGACAGCTCGATGGGTGGTGGTACCATTTATTAAAATAGGTAACCTGTGCTGTCTTTTCTTCCTACTCATACACACAGTGTAAACCTTTCAACCAGTTAATTCTAAATCAACCATTTTAAAATAAGGAGAAATTTTATTTTTTAATTTTTTTTTCTTTTTTTTTAAAATAAGGAGAAATTTTAGAGAAGGAAATCATATATTTAATATTTGACCTTTTGTATAAGGTACCTGTGAGAAATCCAAGTGCAGATGCTTCAAAAGCAGTGGGTTATACAGATTTTAAATTGAAAATCAAGGTCATGTCTAGCGATAGAGATGTACATATAGTTTTGGAAATAAATAGCATATCATTTTAGTTAGAGTTTTGAGGATGGAAGCAATCACCAAGGAGAGAGTACAGAGGAAGTGGAATAATTAAGACAGAGACAAGAGGGATACCAGCATTTAAGGGCTGAGTAGAAGAACCATGAAGGAGCCTGACAAAGAAGCAGGAAAAGGTAGTTTATGGATATCAAAGGCAGAAAGTGTCTTAAGAAGGCCAACAATGTACAATGTTGCAGAAAGATTGAAATTAAGAGATTTTCTTTCTCAACATGGTAAGGACTATTTCATAGATTTGTCCAAATGGCCAGGATGGTGGATGCTGTCGTTGGTCCACTCAGATTCCTTTACCTGTGGAAGCACTTGTCCCTAACTGTAGTGATAGCTGATAACACTTACCAGCTGTACTTCTTCTCTGGGTAACTATTCTCAGGCAAATGGGAGCTTCATTAACAAGGAGGCAAGATCCCTCACTTCAGCACCACCCTCAAAACACTAGACAGTGAGTAACCTTTGCCTCAAGGTGGGACTTAGTCTGTGTTGCAGTTCATCCTCCAGAGCCCCCTGTGGGGTAAAGCCAAATTTAGTCTCCACTGAGATCATAGACATACTAGCTTTTTCCTGTTGCCCCATCCTGCTTTTCCAACTCCCTCCATAAATCACTTGAACAAGGATCCCTGTCTCAGGCTTGGCTAGAGAAGCTAAGACAGCTGGTAAACTTTATCTTTTTTTTTTTTTTTGAAATCATGCTATTATCATCAAAAATTAGAAAAAAATCCCATATAGGTCTCAACACAGCTCCAGTAGGCCTGCTACAGTAAATATCAGATATTTAAAGGAGAAGGAACAGAGATGGAAAGGCATCTTTTTTTTTTCCCTTAGCTAATAAACAATTACATGTCCAGTAGGCTTTTGAAGAAAAGAAAATATGGAAACTTGCCTCATTTAATAGAAGAGAGAAGCTTCTTTATGGCATAAAACACTGGTTCTTTTGAATTTTCCACAAAATTCCTTTCAATTTCAAGTGTTCTACTAAAGGAGATAAGATATATTAAATTTAACACATATGCACGGGGTGAACTCCATGATGGTGGCCAAAAGGGGCTTGGGTTCGGAAGAAAAGGAGATGTTTGGAGAAGGCTTAGGGGAGGAGGTAGCTTTTGTGCCAGGTCTTGAAGCATGATTTGAGACTTGAATGAGAGAGCTGAGGAGAGAAGGTGGAGTGCATGTGGGGGAGAGAGGCATAGAGACAGGGAAAAGCAGGGTCTGGTAAAAAAGCAGGTGGTGCTGGTTGCTGGTGCCTGGGGCTCGGAGGAGAAGAGATGCCTGAACCCTGGAACTCTTCAGTCAACTGCTTCATTTCGCCTAGAAAAAGCAAGCAGTGGTCCCAGTGTGGAGGGCATCACTGCACCGTCATGAAGAAACTGAGAATGGGGAGAACTTTGAGAAGGAAACCGGTCTTAAACAGCGGAGAAAGGAAGGATGTTTTTAAGATTAATAAAGAGAAATGCTGCAAATGCCATGCTTTAAAAGTGGTTTAAGGCATGTCAGTTCCAAGTAATGGATTCCATCTTTGACCTAACAAAACCAAAACAAAATGAGATTCTCCTCCTAATTTCTTTCACAGTCTCATGGAGAGAGAACTAATTTAGGAAATTGCAGCACTTGGAAAAGATGAGTGTAGAAAGAGAGAAAGAACTCGAACCAAGAAAAATACACAGTTATAAATAAAATAAATATTCATAACTCCCCCATTCGACCTTCTCCTTAGCCCCCTCTTTCCTCTCACTCACTTAAAAGTCTATTATTTGAAATTTTAGCACTCATGTTCAGTTGACTGAGTACTCAGGATTGAAGAAAGACCCTCTGCCTCACTGAAAGCAGAGAATGACCTTGTTCTTACCCAACAAATTAGCTAATGAGTTTATGTAGTACATTTAGCAATTAAGGTCTTTGCAAGTATTACACTGGGATTTACTTAAGGTATGCAATTTTTACTTGACACTATACACATAACGTCAGCTAAGGATTCTGCCCTTCTGTTTACCTCAATGACAGGAACACCCAGTGGTGCTGACAAAATTTATTGAGGGAGCCCGGGAAGTGGAAATGGATGCTGTTGGCAAAGATGGAAGAGTAAGTGCTTTATCCCCAACTCCGAGATCCCTGCCTTCCCATCAAGTTTCTTTCCCCACCCCGCCTTGGCAGTTTTGAAACAACACAGACTAGAGGTCATGATTTCTACAAAACAGGTCTCTGAAAATAGTGGAAGAGTTGCTCAGTCCAAAAAATTTTCAAATTCACTAACAATTTAGTTGATGTGTCATGGGTATCATATATCCTGTGTTTCATACTGTTAGAATTTCTCTTTGATGATATTCAAAATTAATTATCTTCCTGTACTCATCATTCTTTTTGAATAGATTTTTCTCTCTCATTTTCTTTTGTCTGTGGGTTTTCTTTTATGTTTCAATGAGTATTATAAAAACATCCAATACTTGTCTTTCTGAAGTTCCTAATTGAATCCCTAGTTTTTCTCCTCTCTTGATTTCCCAGCCTCCACCTTTTTATTGTGTTAATAAAGACAAAACTAAACAGAGTAGGGTGGATAAGGATAATAACATAAAATTAGCTTACCAAATCACATCTTGTATTGCTAGTACAATGAATGCCTCCAACTTCAGGGAAAAATGAAAATGTGAAGAATGCTTTCCTTTAGTTTGCTAGTTGTACTAATAAGGTATTTATGATTTATCTTGAAATATAGGAAGTTATGTTTTAGGGAGTCTGTGTCATTTTATTTGCTTTAATGAAAAATTAAAAAAAAAACTGTCCTTCATTTTCTACTTTGTAGATACTTCAAAACACTACTAAAATGTTAAATCTTTTTGGCTTTTTTGTTTTCCAGATTAACAGTTCAAAGTAGGGCTGTTTACATGTGTGTGTATATATGTAAACCATACAGCAGTGATGACTGCTTACTACAGAATCATATAATCCTGAGTGTAAGCACCCTTAGAAATCATTTATTTCAACCCCACGCCCCAAAGGATGAGAATTTTCTTCACAGCATCCCCAGAAAGTGGTCACTTATTTTCTGTTTAACAACTTTGGTTATACAGAGCACAGAAAGTTGTCAGATTGAAAGATGTCATATATATATATAGATAGATGGATAGATAGATAGATAGATATAGATAGCTATATAACTATACAGATATATATAATAACATCTCATTTATTCCTTCTTTTGAAGTAAAGTCTGCTCCCTAGAATTTTTTCATTCCTGACCTTCTGGCCTCCAGAATTGTAGAGCATATGTTTAATCTTTCCTCCTTTTCAACTTTTAAGTATTTGAGATTCAGGTATAAAATGAGAGGGATGTGAGCATACCAATGTCAATGTGGAGAATGTAAGACTAGCCTAGAAATGTTTGTGTTTTTTCAAATATAATGCTGGTCTGTTGGCCTGATTTGGCTCCCACTTGCTAGGATATGCTCTTAATCTAAGCTTCTCTCAGACATCAACCATTGCTTATCATCCTGGACTCCTTCTTTTGGAAATGTTCCAGGTTATTCACATAATTTTTAAATAGTCACACTCCAAAATGGACATAGTACATCAACTATATTATGATTTTTTTCGGAGCCTGGTGGGAGTATTGCCTCCCCCTTTCTAGACACTATAAAAAAATTTGAATGCTTACTATGCACTAAATACCATGTCAGACACTGTATATGTGTTCTCTCTTATCCTTACAAACATTCCATGAGACCCACACCATGGTTAGTACTGCCTTATCAGAAACCAAGGCTGAGTAGATAAAGTATCTTGCCCAGGTCACAGAGCTGGTAAGTGACAGCAGGAGACTCAAATGCCACTCTGCTTTAAAGTAATTTATAAATCTGATAAACAAATTATCTCTGTAATTTATTTAAGTCTTTTACAGTTACCCAATTATTCTCTGTTGACTGTCAGCTTTATCATTTTCCAAAGACACACATACTGTTAGCATTCAGGTTATGGTGATTGAGACCATAAACTTTGGAATGTGACAGATAAGGGCTTCAAATCTGACTTGGCCATACAGTAATCACATGCACTTGGGTTATTTCTTCTTATCTTGCCTTAGTTTCCTTACCTGTAAGAGAAGATAAGGATATTTTTTTTCTTGCTTCCCCTTCTTTCTCAAATTTCAATTTAAAAATCTCTAGCTCCAGATCTTAAGTCTTCCTGGTCCACCGAAGTTACACATGCACCTCGCTAGATATTTACCTCTCCCATCGTTTCTTTTCCAGTGTCTAAAACCTAATCTGGAAGGAAAAGATAAAGATCCTTCCAGTGCCTACCAAATGCTTTAGTTTCCTACTCATTCTTTTTTTTTAAATTTAATTTTATTATGTTATGTTAATCACCATACATTACATCATTAGTTTTTGATGTAGTGTTCCATGATTCATTGTTTGCTTATAACACCCAGTGTTCCATGCAATACGTGCCCTCCTTAATACCCATCACCAGGCTAACCCATCCCCCCACCCCCTCCCCTCTAGAACCCTCAGTTTGTTTCTCAGAGTCCATAGTCTCTCATGGTTCCCCTCCCCCTCCGATCCCCCCCCCTTCATTTTCCCCTTCCTACCATCTTTTTTTTTTTTTTTTTTTTAACATATAATGTATTATTTGTTTCAGAGGTACAGGTCTGTTTCCTATTCGTTCTTAAAAGTCAACCTGAGTCAGTTCAGTTGTCTTCTTTTCCTGATTCGAACCCATTCTAATTGACGGAGGAGGGAGGTCAGCTCAGCCGCTGTCAGCTGCCCCGGAGGCAGTCTGTCACTGCACAGGGAGGCAGTGATGTCTACATGCAGGACTCTATGTACTACTCTCATCAAGGGCTCGAAAAGAAACTGGTCAATGCTCCAGGCATCTGTTAGGATGGGGTGGGTGGGGAGGTGGGAGGCAGCTTCATCGAAGTAGGTGCCTGACAACTCTTTCTAAAATCTTCTTTTGGCCAGGTTATCTCCCACGCTATGTCTGAACATGTGGAAGATGCAGGTGTCCACTCAGGAGATGCTACTCTGATGCTGCCCACACAAACCATCAGCCAAGGAGCCATTGAAAAGGTCATCATTTATCAAGAAAAGTGGAAGGGGAAAAAGCAAAGATAAAAAAAAAATTTTTTTTTAACTAGGTAGCAATGTAGGACATGCCCCAGGCAAAATGTAATTATGAAGGGAACTTTCTTGTTCTGAGTCTGCTGGGTGTTTTAGAGATAATAATTTCCTTCCTGCCCTCTTGAGCCCACTTGGTTGTGTGCTACTACGGTGGTTCTTGACCTTCAGTGGTGTCATAACATCCTGGGGAACTTGCTAATCTACAGATTGCTGGACTCCATCCCTAGCTTCTGATTCAGTAGTTCTGAGCAGGGCCCCCAAATTTGCATTTTTAACAAGTCTCCAAGTGATGTTGTTGCTGCGGACCTATGGACCCCATCTGGAGAACACTGCTGCAGATGGTTCTCATGTTTGAGAGCCACTTAGATGAGCAGCATATAAAGCTATGCTTCTCAGTTAGAAGCAGGTATGCAGCAATCATGTAGGAACATTTTGGAACCTGTGTTTTCAATATCCACACTTACCCTCATCTCAGATCAGCACTTTCTGACATGTCTCTTTCAGCCTCTCTTTTGGAACCATTGCTTTAAAGACCTTCCCAGGAATGATGCCTCAGTACTCAATATGCACTCCTAGGCGGTCTCAGAGACCATCATCTTAAATAATTCGTGTGGATGTTCCTTTACTCTTTAGGTATGTTAGGTCAGGCTTGGCTTTTTTAATGAGTCTTACCAATAATCCTGCCATCCAAATCTAGGTAGCCTGTCTGGCTGGCTGTACTTTGGGCTGGATTCTGAAGATCTTACCTTGTTCTAGATGTGAAGGTAGCAGGGCGTGTTGTAACACCAGCTGCCTAAGAGAACAACATCCCTGGATTTCAAGTGTGCTTTAGTTGATCATGTCGGTATAAATGACCTCAAGAACTCAGATTTTTCCAGATCTCTCACAGTTTGATGTGCCATGGACTCTGCTCCCTTTTATGACCAACTAAGTTGTCAAATCACTCTTGTAAAAGTAATGAATGAGGAGCTCTTGTTTCTTGCTGTCAGTGGCCCCTCATTGCATGGGTACCTTCTGGCTCTGGTTGGATGTAGGGATTCATCTATGTGACATGAAGAGCTTCCCGGCAAGGAAACGTCATTTCTTTCTGACCATACTATCTACCCAGGTAGAGTCCAGGGCAGCAGAAAAGCACATCAAAGCAGTGTCTCTGGTCTCTTTGCAGTGCCATGTAATTTCAGGGCCTGCTCTTCTTAGCAGGTAGATCGGGAGGGTGATAGGAAGTTTGGACTGCAGTTTCTGGTGCTGAAGCAACTGGACTGAAAGAATTCCATTTAGCCCTCAAAGTAAAACCAGAGTATACAACGGCAGGTAGATAGGGACATTTGGCAGAAAGATAATTTTGTAAAGTTATTTGTTCTTTTCCTCGCTGGTTTGTTATGAATATTTAGTATGTATTATTATTTTATTGATAGATGCCTGCTAGTGGCTTCTATTATTGTTATTATTATTATTATTATTATTGCCATTATGACTGTTACTATTATTAGTGGAGGTGTAGCTCTATGTCAAGAGAAATTAAAGAAATCTAAGTTTGAGGTGTTTTCTAACCAAAGTATGCTCTTTAGCTCTATGTCATTGTCCTTTTGATCTAGGTGAAGGATGCTACCCGAAAGATTGCAAAGGCTTTTGCCATCTCTGGCCCATTCAACGTCCAGTTTCTTGTCAAAGGAAATGATGTCTTGGTAAGAAATGCCCAGGTGCTTGAGAGGACACCAAGCTGTGTTAGGTTATGTTGGTTTGTGTCCCCCCGGTAATCTTGGTGAGCACAGACGGAGCAGCTGAGACTCCTGGAGCTGTTCATGTCTGAGTGTGGCTTGTTGCACAGCATATGATGCCTGCCTTGTCTGAAGGCAGAGGCTCTTGGTGGCACTCCTGTGTCAGTCACGGTTCTGGAAAGCACTCTAGTCCACTGGAAAGAGGATTGCTGTCTGGCATCTGCAGTACAGTAGAGATGGACGCAATGACTATCTGAATGTGTACAATAGTCATAAATTGTATACACTGAAGTTTTAGATACTATTTACATAAAAAAATGTTAAATCAACTAGACTAGTCTTCATTAATTTAGTTGCTATTTAATGTAACCAATCAGTAACCAATATTGGTTCAGCAGCATCTACTATGTGAAATCATATGGTGGCAATAAAGTTGTATAAGCCACAGTCTTCGCTCTTAAAGATATTCGGTTTGGTGAGGACTGGGAAGATGACTTTGTAGACAACTATAACATAAGTTAGAATATAATAGCTGCTGGAAGGAATGTACAAATACATGGTATTGGCGTTATAGAACAGAGAGAGCATACCTACTAGTGTGTTTGTGTGTGTGTGTGTGTGTACACACACACATGCATGTGTGTGCCTGAGCATGTATTTGAGTGTCATATACCTGGTTTGGGGTGGGTTTCAAGGGAGATTTTGTATTTTAAGCTGGATCTTAAAGAATGGTTGGAATTTTGACAAGTAAAGGAAGGTAGAGAGGACATTACACATAGAACATCTGAGAGAAAATTTGGCACATTTTAGGAGATAGCGACTAGTTCAGTTTAGCAAGATCATTTTTCTAGGGAAATAGTGCAAGGCAAACTTGGAAAATAAAATCGGGGTCAGGGAAATGGTACAAGATAACATAGAGAGATATATCGAGGCAGATGAATAAAAAGCCTTCAAGGACCAGACTTTCATCTGATGGCCAGTGGAAACCCAGTGAAGGCTTTTCTGTAGGGACGTGGCATTATCTGAGTTCTGCATTAAAATCTATCAGCAGTGTGTGGGGATGAAGTTGTGGAAAGTGGATGTAAGAAAGTCAGAATTCAAAGATACCGACTAAAAAGAAACTGGCTAACAAAGTGCAAGCAGTGGGGAGAGAAGGAAGAGGCTGGTAAAAGAAGAGCCGGCCCCAGTGAAAAACAGCTAGAACCCAGGTGCCAGGGAGAATGTTAATATGTTGTCATTGGCCCTCACCATCCTTTCTCTTTTTTTGAATTTTGTTATCTCTCCAGGTGATTGAGTGTAACCTGAGAGCTTCTCGATCCTTCCCCTTTGTTTCTAAGACACTGGGGGTAGACTTCATTGATGTGGCCACCAAGGTGATGATTGGAGAGAGCATTGATGAGAAACCTCTTCCCACATTGGACCATCCCATAATTCCTGCTGACTATGTTGCAATTAAGGTAACATTAAAAAAATCTATTAGTCATTTTTTTTTTAAGATTTTATTTATTTATTTGAGAGAGAGAGACTGAGAGAGAGAGCACATGAGAGGGGGGAGGGT